ATGTCAGCCCACTGTCAGGGCTAGGTGCTGGGTCAGCTGAGGCTCCTGGAGCCATACTAGCTTCGCTTTGCAGGGCACCATCATCTTGCCCAATCTGGCTTCTGTGCTCCTCGATCCTGAGCGTTGGGAGACCCCCCAGCAGTTCAACCCAGGCCACTTCTTGGACAAGGATGGAAACTTCCTGGTCAATGAGGCTTTCCTGCCATTCTCCGCAGATACCAGGCAAAGCATTGGGTTATGGATGGTAGGTAGGGGGTGTGATGAGACAGGCACAGAGTCAGCTGCCACCATCTAACCTTTCCCTCTGCTTCCAGGGCATCGAGTGAGCGCAGGGGAGCAGTTGGTTTGGATGGGCTCTTCCTGATGTTTGCCACCCACCTTGGACCTTTTGGTTCCAGCTGCCAGAGGAGAGCCTAGGGCTCAGGCTACAACACATTTGGGGCAATTTGCAGCCCCAGCCCCAGAAGATCTGTGCAGTGCCCCATCTGAGTTGCTCCAGCCTCGGTCCTGGGGAAGGGAGGGTCTGGAGACCTGTTCCCCACAAAGTCCTTCCTCAGTCTCTCAGCTCCAGCAAAGTTGTAGAAGAAGAACAAGGTTTTCCCGTGCTCAGCTGCTCACAGGTCCCCCTAATACAGGCTCTGTGCAGTGGCGTTAGGGAGAAGACTTAAGGATTTTTTTTTTTTAAAGATTTTTATTTATTTGACAGAGACACAGCGAGAGCAGGAACACAAGCAGGGGGAGTGGGAGAGGTTGAGAAGCAGGCTTCCTGCTGAGCAGGGAGCTCGACGTGGGACTCGATCCCAGGACCCTGGGATCATGACCTGAGCCGAAGGCAGCCGCCCAACAGACTGAGCCACCCAGGCACCCCTTAATAAGGATTCTATAACAGTAGCTCAGTTCTTAAGTTAGTTATGCTCTGGCAGGAAAGGATTTGATAAGGTTACTTAAGGTTTTTTCACAAGATTAACTTGGGGGGGCGCCTGGGTGGCTCAATTGGTTAAGCGACTGCCTTCGGCTCAGGTCATGATCCTGGAGTCCCAGGATCGAGTCCCGCATCGGGCTCCCTGCTCGGCAGGGGGTCTGCTTCTCTCTCTGACCCTCCTCCCTCTCATGCTCTCTGAATCTCATTCTCTCTGTCTCAAATAAATAAATAAAATCTTTAAAAAAAAAAAAAGATTAACTTGGGGAGTCAAGCCTCATACTGTAGCAACTAAATAGATTCAGAGGGAAAGACGTTTGAGAAAAACTGTCAATATAATACTGCATGTGAGTAATATTGATGCTGGCACCTAGTAAGGCCCAAACTGGGTGGTTTATTTTCTGCCCTCTGCTGCCTTCTCCTGACCAAAGGGGAGACGTGCAGGCCGCTGCTGACAGCGCGGGAAAGATTTCCCCAGTCTGTTACCAAGCAAAACCAGCAGCCAACGCAACTATCCTCAACAAATTATCTACCAAGCACTCCCTTTACTCCCTCTCCCAGCCCCTGCCAAGATCCCCAAGTTTTGAAACATTATCTCCAGACAAGGCTTGTTTATTTAAAAAAGACTGACACACATATATATATATATATATATATATATTTTTTTTTTTTTGAGAGAGAGAGAGAATGAGAGAGAGAGCACATGAGAAGGGGGAGGGTCAGAGGGAGAAGCAGGGAGCCCGATGCGGGACTCGATCCCGGGACTCCGGGATCATGACCTGAGCCAAAGTCAGTTGCTTAACCAACTGAGCCACACAGGCGCCCCAAGACTGACTTATATTAAGTCAAAATCAAAATGAGATACAACTGCACATCTTTTAGAATTGCTAAAAACAAAACCCTGAGAATCCCAAGTACTAGAAAGGTGCAGAGCAACTGAAACCCTCATACTCTGCTGGCGGGAATGAATGGTCCAACCACACCGGAAAAGAGTTTGGCGATCTCTTACACAATTAAATATTACGCCATACAACCCAGCCATCCCACTCCTGGGTATTTACCCAACAGAAATGAAAATATATGTTAACACCAAGACATACTATATGATTCTATTTCTATGGTATTCTTGAAAAGGCAAAACTACAGGGACATAAAGCAGATAAGTGGTTGCTAGGGTCTGGAAGTAGGGTTATGGATTGACTATAAAGGGACATGAGGGAACTTTATGGGATGATGGAACTGTTCTGTCTGATAACTGGTGATCACTATACAACTGAATATGTTTGTCAAAAATCATGGAACTATACACCTAAAAGGGTGAATTTTATTGTATATAAATCATATCTCAATAGATCAGACTTTTAAGAAAGGCATGTCCTTTTTAAAAAATATTTTATTCTTTTTTTAAAGTAAGCCTCACACCCAACCTGGGGCTCAAACTCACGGGACTCAAACTCATGACCCCAAGATCAATAGTCACATGCTCTACCAACTGAGCCAGCCAGGCACCCCTAAGAAAGGTATGTCTTACCATTTTCCTTTGAGTTATTTAAAAGATGTACATGCGAATACACCAACATTTCATTTAGTAGGATATCAATCATTGCTGCTGCACTGAGTGGGAGATGGAAATTTTTTTTTCTTTAAAAAAAAATTTTTTTAAAAGATTTTATTTATCGGGCGCCTGGGTGGCTCAGGTGGTTGGGCGTCTGCCTTCAGCTCAGGTCATGATCCCAAGGTCCTGGGATCGAGTCCCGCATCGGGCTCCCTGCTCAGCGGGGAGCCTGCTTCTCCCTCTCCCTCTCTCTCTCTCTGTCTTTTATGAATAAATAAATAAAATCTTAAAAAAAATAGATTTTATTTATTTATTTGACCGAGAGAGACACAGCGAGAGAGGGAACACAGGCAGGGGGAGTGGGAGAGGGAGAAGCGGGCTTCCCGCTGAGCAGGGAGCCCGATGTGGGCCTCGATCCCAGGACTCTGGGATCATGACCTGAGCCGAAGGCAGACGCTTAACGACTGAGCCACCCACGTGCCCCTAGAATGGGAATTCTTAATGGATTAATTCGCCTCTGGCCTTTTTGCAGGCAAGCTTACCAGTTCCTTTAGACTTTATGAAATCTTGAAGCTCTCTCACAGACAACTCATTTTCTGTGTAGAACCATACCTATGCCCTGGAGAGTCCAGACTGGGACCCGCTGAGCAAGTTGGATCCCAGAAAGCCCCAGAAAGACTGGGGTTTTCTTGCCCGGGAGATTCTCCCTCACCTGCTCTCTTAAGGTTCACCTGTTTGTGGCCCAGGCAGGCTATAGGGTGGAGAAAACACAGCAACCCTAATCCAACCGCTTTTTGTCTCCCTCTCCTAAGCGTCTGTCAGTTCTCGCCCTGTTAGAGTCCCTCTGGTATAATAAGAAATATACTTGGGTTTTGTTCCTGGCAAAAAACTCCTCAAACCCTTGGAATCTCCTGAGTGACAAGAGTGTCTTTTGTCGTGCATAAGAAGCCCTTTTGAGTTTATTCTTTTTTTTTTTTTAATTTTTTTTTTTTAAGATTTTATTTATTTATCTGAGAGAGAGAATGAGAGAGAGCACATGAGAAGGGGGAGGGTCAGAGGGAGAAGCAGACTCCCTGGTGAGCAGGGAGCCCGATGCGGGACTCAATCCTGGGACTCCAGGATCATGACCTGAGCCGAAGGCAGTCGCTTAACCAACTGAGCCACCCAGGCGCCCCCTTTTGAGTTTATTCTAATGAGATGATTTGGGGGGCTCTAGACAGTGTCAGGATGGGGCTGGTCACCAGAAAGACCAAGAGATCAGAGGGTTGGAATTTTCAGCCTTACTCACCAGGCCTCTGGGAAGGGAGTGGGGAGTGGAGGAGGCTGCAGATTGGCTCTATAAAAACTCGAACTATGAGGGGCGCCTGGGTGGCTCAGATGGTTGGGCATCTGCCTTTGGCTCGGGTCATAATCCCAGGGTCCTGGTATCGAGCCCCACATCGGGCTGCTGGCTCAGCGAGGAGCCTGCTTTTCCCTCGGCCTCTGCCTCTCTCCCTGCTCATGCTTTCTCTCTCTCTCTCTGTATCTGTGTCTCAAATGAATAAATAAAAAATCTTAAAAAAAAAAAAGATTAAAAAAAAAAACCTCGAACTATGAGATTTGGTGAGTTTCCAGGTTAGTGAATACATCCACTTGCTGGGAGGGTGGCACATCCCAGTTCCATGAGAACAGAAATTCCTATGCAGGGGACCCTTCCAGACCTCACCCTGCACACCTCTCTATCTGGCTTTCCGTCTGTATCATTTATACTATCTTTTATAATAAACTGGTAAACGTAAGTAAATGTTTCTCTAAAAGTTCTGGGAGCCACTCTAGCAAATTAATTGAACTCAAGTAGAGAGTTGTGGACATCTCTGATCTATAGCCAATTGGTCAGAAGCACAGGTGATGACCTGACCTTGTGACTGACATCTGAAGTGGGGCGTGGGGCAGTCTTGTGGGACTGAGCTCTTGACCTGTAGAATCTGACGATATCTCCAGGCAGAAAGTTTCAGAATCGTGTTGATTGCCTGATGGTGCTGAAAAATACACCTCAGAGCCTCTCTCTGGAGCTTGCAACACCCTCCAATGCCCAGCCCTACCATCATCCAGCCTCCTGTCTGTCTTTCATCCTGCCTGGCTTCCTGCTCATTACTCCATTCAAAGGCCAACTCCTCTAGGAAGCTTTCTCTCACATGGGCTTGGACCTTGGCCAAAATCCCAGTATTGCTCTTAATAACCCAACTTTTGTGTGCCTTGGTTTCCTCATCTGTCAAATGGGATGCCAATAGGAATTTTTCTCTTAGGATTGTTGTGTGCAATGCTCAGCACAGAGCCTGGCATATGATAAGTACTCAGTACATGTTGGCGGGAATCTCTTTCTCCCATACATGCATATAAGCACTTTGTACCTTTGTTTATGGTCATAAAATAAAAATGACAAGAGGGAAGACTTCTCCTGAGGTTGGGCTTCTATGTCAGTTTCTAATTATTACCTCATAATGATACGATGATAGCTACTATGCATTATCAACCATGAGCAAGTGAGTCCTTGACATATACAAAGTCATTTATTCCTCAAAGTGACAAGGTAGGTGTTATTATCTGAATTTACAGGAACCAGAGTCAAAGTGTCAGAGCATCACTGAGCCTCCATCTGGCCCATGGCATTGCCCCAGTGGGAGCTGGAGAAAAAGGGGAAACCCTTGCAAACAATGCTCATGCTGCTTGTTTGTGCTGTGGGTAATAGTCTTTTGTCTCCGACTCAGAAGTCTCCTGTTTTCTGCCAGCAATCAAACTCATTAGCTTGTCGATGAAATCCCAGACTTGACACCTATGACATAACCAAAGTGAATTTATTTTAGTTTCCCAAACAAGTCATGCCCTGAAAGACATCACAAATACTATTCTCTCTGCCTAGATCATTTCAGCCCTTCTCTTCTTTTGGTCACCTCCATCAGTTTCTCTGGGAAGCCTTCTCCCCTGCCTCCCGTTCCCCAACCCTCAACTGTGGTGTTTCCCCCTCTTCTAAGCTCCCACAGAGCCTTCCGTTTCTTGGCTCATAGCACTTCTCACAATGTGTTGTAATTGCCTGTTTATTTACTTGCTCCCTTCTCCCCCAGTAGAGCAGGATTTCTGTGAGGTCGGAGATAGTGTTATCCAAAATACATCCTAGCACATTGCCTGGCATACTAAAGGTGCTTCATAAATATTTATGGGATGAATACAGTACTATTACAGTGATAAGCATAAAGCAGTATAAAAGCGTAAATGGAGGTCATCTAAATCAGACTGGAGGTCTCGAAAGGCCTTAAAGGAAACTAAAATATGTCACCCCAAAATATGCCTCTTTGACATAAAAATTATTTTGAGCTGAAGGCAATTAAGAAGCGGTAAATCCTAAAGACAGGGAATATCTCCTTTCCTAGAAACACTCTCAACAGCCCAAAGACCAGAAACCAGGCACCAGAGGAATCTGCAAACAAACCTTGTTAAATTAACCCAGATCTTTCTCATTAAGGAAGATAAGGACTACCTAGCCCTAGTTGGACTAACCCTAACCTGAACCTCACTGTCAATTCTTCACAAATTATTGTTTCTTTATCTAAGATATAAAACCTTCCTGCTCTGGTCTCTTCTTCAGATCTTGGTTCTCTTGTGAAGACTCCCATGTATATGTAAAAATAAAATAAAATTTGTATGCTTTTTAGGGACGCCTGGGTGGTTCAGTCGGTTCAGTGTTTGACTCTCGATTTTGGCTCAGGTTATGATCTCAGGGTTGCAAGATGGAGCCCCAGGTCAGGCTCCACGCTCAGTGGGGAGCCTGCTTGAGATTCTTCTCTCCCTCTGCCCCTCCCCTGCTCGCATGCACTCTCTCTCCTAAATAAATAAATAAATAAATATCTTTTTAAAAACCTCTCTATGCTTTTTCTCCTGTTAATCCTTGTCAGTATAGTTCTCAGACCTGGCTAGGGATCCCCAAGACAGTTGAGGCAAACTTTTTCCTCCCCTACAGCCTCCTAGGAAAGGACAACTGAGGTTGGTCTGAAGGACAAGTTGGTTAGGTAGGTTGAGTAGGGAGGTAAGAGAGGGTGTTTCAGACAGTGAGAGTGGTCTATGAACTCGGACAGGCAGGTGCCTTTAGGAAACTGCTAATCATACAGTCTAGCTGCAGCTAGGGTCGGAGGGCGGGTTGGAGTGGCAGGAAATAAGGCTGCCTGGCAGGTAGGCAAGGGCTGAATCATGAAGTTTGTATTCCATCTAGAACACAGACTTTGATTCCAGGTTTGGACTTTAATGTTAAAGATGAGAGGCACATTCTCTTAAGTGTGTCATAACACGAAACGGTGAGGGGCACCTGGGTGGGGCTCAGTCCGTTAAGCGCGGCACTCCTGATTTTGGTTCAGGTCATGACCTCAGGGTCCTGAAACCCAGCCCCGGGAAAGGGCTCTGCCCCGGGCCTGGAGCTGGCTTGGGATTCTCTCCCCCCCCCCCCCCCCCCCCCCCCGCCCCAGCGCTTTCGCTCTCTAAAAAATAAAATAATAATAACAACAACATAAAATGGTCGATGCATTAGAAAAAGAAATAATATAAATACAATGATGCAGCGGTTCCTCCACTCACTCCTCTCTGAGCCTCTGTGAACAGTGGTGATTCTATCCGCCTCAGGTGTTTGGTGAGGATTAAATGCAATAACTTAGGTGAAGTGCTTGCTACGTGGCAATACGAAATAAATGCTAGTTTTCCCTTCTCTTTTTCCTCTGGACCTCCTCCGCAAACTGGGTGGAGGCCGGGGCGCTCTCCTGCGCCCGCCCCAGGCCCGGGCTCCGCGGGGCAGGAAGAACGCCCTCGCGGCCGCCGGGTGTGTGGAGACGCGGCTCAGCCGGGCGTGGGGGCGCTCTAGGCTGCACCTCGGCGCTCTATGGTTCCCCCCCCCCTTCGCCCCGGAAGTAGTTCCGCGGCAGGGGTTGGTAAGGTCGGGCCATGGTGGGGCAGAGGTTGGGAAGATGGCGTGGCGCGGCTGGGCACACAGAGGATGGGGCTGTGGCCAGGCGTGGGCTCAGCCGGCGGGCGGCCGCAGCTGCGAGGAGCTCCCTGCGGCCCTGGCCCCGCCGCGACTGCTCGGACGCAGGTAATGACCACCGCTCCGGGCTGCTTTTCCTTCGGACCCTCAGCTCCGGCAGAGCATCCTCGGGGGCGCAGGCCGTGCGGGCCTGTGGGGCTGCCTTCTCTCACCCGTGTCCTGACCCGTCTCTTCCTCTCTCCGTCCCGCTTTCCCCTCTCGCCTTGCCAGTCCTCGCTTCTCGCCGTGCCACCGTGCCCCGAGCCGGGTGCCCAGTGACCGACCCCGGCGCAGCTTTCCGCGAGCCCGCGCTGTCTGCCCCTTTCCCCTCGGGATGGACGTGAGGGGAAGGGAAACTAGTCTCTGAGGGCTCATTGCGTGCCACGCCTCATTAATCCCGCCAAGAAGGTATTGGGCCGATTTTTTAAGTGGAGCAGTTACGCAGATGATAGAATGGCAGAACTGATTCTCTGTTTTTATAGACCTGTGTTCTACTACAAGTTATCTTCTTTCGCGTTTAGAGAACGAAGGGAAGACGGAGTCACAGGGCTTTTGCCTTCTTCAAAGTCGTAGGAGAGCTTTTCTGTTGAAGAATGGAGACCGTGGAATATTTAGTTTCCGGATGGTTTGGAAAGAAAACTATAGTACTGGTTTTCCCAAGTAGAAGCTGTATGAAGAGTATGCTCTATCAGTATTTGCTGCTTTTGTTAATTCAATTCTAAAGAGAAGAGAAAAATCCCTCAGCTGTCCAAGATTTTGATGTGTATTTGACTTGAAATTTGTTCCTGTTCTTTAATCCAGAGTTTCAGCCTTCCCGGTTTCTGAGTTGGGTCCAGATGCCTGAAATCCCATCTGATTGATGATAGCAAGTTAAGGTAGAGTGTTCAACAGAGGGGCTAGCCAGTGGCAAATAATTGAGGCGCCAGTATGGTGGAGCCATTGCTTAATTTTAAGAATCACCCGGAGCGTTTGTAGAATATATTTCCCAGACTCCACCCTAGTTCTGTCAACTCAGAAGTTGTGGGGCGGTGGGAGTGGAAGAACCTGTAGTTCTTGCAAGCATTCCAAGTGAATTGGATTAGGGATTTGTGAAAACTTGCATACATTATAGCATCACTTCAGGATACACCTTAACTTGGAGCTTCAGGAACTATTCTTAAACTCCTGGGGAGATGGAGAATGAGGTCAGGTGGAGGTAGTGATAGATTTCAGTGGTCCAGATTCCATAATTTATTCCAAATCCCAGTCAAAATTGCATGGTTTGAGGGGGAGGAAAAATGAATATGGCTATCAGGAAGCAACAGGTGTGATAATATTAAAAATATGTGTTAGGAAGGGAAAGCAAAGGAAAAATAACTTGATTAATGAAGAGTCTCCAGTAAAAAGTGGAGACCATTTGAAAGAAAACAAATGATGGTGTGATATTGATGATTAGCACCTATTTTTTTTTTTAAGTTTGCTGTTTGCGGAGTTTGAAAATGACATTTTTATGGTTGCATAGAAAAATGTGCATTAAAAGAGAATGTAGGTAAGTAAGCCTGAAAAGCATATGCCTGCTCACCTCTGGAAATAAGCACTTAAAGTTAATAGGAAGAATGAGTTACCTTGTATGTAACTTTATTTGGTCTGCTTTGACTTCTTGTGGTTCTAAGATTAGTATACAGAAGAATGAAGTTAGAGATAAGGTTAAAAAGCAGAGTTCTGGGCCCAGTCCTTTTGATTCTGATGTGATAGGCCTGAAGCATGGCTGAGAATTTGCCATACAGGTAATGATACAAGAGTTCTGTAAACTATGGCAGGCCTGACGCAGCCCACCAGCTAAAAATGGTTTCTACGTTTTTAAAGGGTTGTAAAGCAAAACAGTATGTGACATATGTGTTCTTCAAAGAAACTAAAATATTTACTAGCTGTCCCTTTACAGAAAAAGGAAAAAATCTCAGTCTCTTCAGAAGCTTTACCATTATCAAATTTCTGGTGGCACTTCAAAGAAATGGTTTAGGCTTAAAAGAAGCCTGCATAATTTTAGTTGTATGGAGCTATCTAAGAGAGTAGTTGGTAGTTCAGCTATTTTCCTTGTTTAAATTACCATCTATTAACTCCAGATGGGTTTTAAGAAAATTTTGTCATGCAAGTGTTTATGTAGAATTCCCGTCTCCCCTAAATACGTTTATTTTCTTTTCAAGTGGAATGAATCTGTTGTATGTATGCTTGGATACATGTTGTCTCCATTTGAACATTAGGCCATTTCTACTTAATTTATTCATGAAAATCTTTAGAAACATAGACATTAGTGCTGACTTGTATGTATATCCTAAGTTGCACTGTTAAATTCGCAAGACTGTTTTCACTCACCATTAAGCCAACTAATAGATATGAGTTTTTCTATTTAAAAGTTATGGGATCATGTTAAAAAACTGACCTATAACAATTGTATGGCCAGTAGTAACTTAGGTTACTTTGAGCACATTGAGCACATTAGACTGCTTTCACAAATGACTGGTATTGGCGAAAGGACCAAAGCAGGCAGGCCTGTCTTCATGAGTTGGTATATACCTCTAATGACCCTCTCCTCCCATTCCACTCTCTGCTTGCACCGTCCGTTTTATCATGTTGTTTCTCTTTGTTTTCTGAACTTATTTCAGGTAAGTGATTTATTGTCTTTTTTCTTTTTTAGATTTTTATGTATTTATTTGAGAGAGAGAGAGAGCAGGGTAAGGGGCAGAGGGAGAGACAGACTGCCTGCCAAGCAGGGAGCCCTCTGTGGGCTTGATCCCAGGACTCCAGGATCATGACCTAAGCTGAAGGCAGACACTTAACCATCTGAGCCACCCAGGCACCCCTGAATCATTTATTTTTCCATCTTTTGCACCGATATGAATGAGTAAAGCTAAAGAACCTAAGCTTGTAAATATGACCTCAAACATTTGCAGTTAGAAAGGTTTATCATGCTTTTCCTTGTTTTTGCATTTTAAGAAATGTAAAACAAAAGCTCCATAAGGGCAGAATGTACCTTGTCATATAATGTTTGATGAAGTACTTCATCTAAAAGCGTTTTTGTAGTAACAAAAAACCCAACTCTAACCAACCCTAAGCAATTAGGAAAATTTATTGGTTTATGCAGTTAAAAAGTCCAACAGTAGGACTGGCTTCTAATGAGGCAAGATTCGGTGTTTCAGATTGTCACCAGGATTCCATTTTTCTCCATGGCTTGGCTCTGCTTCCTAAATGTTGGCTTTATTCTCTCAGTGTGCTCTCCTTGTCGTAAGATGGCTGTCGGTAGCTCTTGGGGCTATATACTTCTAGGTTCACATCCAGCAGAAGAAGTTTCCCAGTATTACAAACAAAATATTGAAATTCACTGGACCAGACTGGCCTGATTTGGGATATGTTGCCATCCTCGAATCCCTTGAAGTTGGCAGGGAGTGGGATCTGTAGGTTGGTTAAAGCCAATCAGGAGCTTGGTGTGCTTCCCCCAACCAAATGGCTGGAAATTCCAGTGTACTGTTAGGAGAGGGGGAAATGGACGTGGATGCTGGGAGTCGGTGAGAAACTCTCAGTATTGTCAGCCCTAATGAAACTTTTGTGTTTGAATTCTTTGTTACAAATCCGAATTCTTGTTAGTCCTAGTCAGGTAGGATTACACTCTAGATAACCATTCTGATTTAAGTAGAAATTTTGTTAGGGATTCGGTTCTGGCTCCTTGCTATTGAAAGTGGTTTGTGAGCTAGCAGTTTAGGCATCATCTACGACAGGAGTGGCGAATTTATTTTGTGAAAGGCCAGATAGAAAATGACAGGGCCACATATGGTCTCTGTCACATACTCATTTCTTTTACTTTAAATAACTCTTCAAAAATTCAAAAACCATTCTTAGCTGGCAGGCCAGATCCACCCTGCAGGCAGAAATTTGTCAATTTCTGAGCTTGTTAGAAATGCAGAATCTCTCCCCGCTTTTCAGCCCCTACAGCATATGAATGTGTGCTAGGTAATAGGAATAGGTGTTCAGTGAACCAATACATTGTACTTAGTTCTATCGAAAAGTTGTGTGTCCAACTGTAATTCCCAATACGTATATATATTCTTTTTTTATATGTATATATTCTTAATATATGTATTCTGCATCTGACCTTAACCCTGGGGCCAAAACTTGTATAATATATTCTCAGTGTCCTTGGCCCCACATTTCTTTCTAAGGTAAATATTATTTTAGGCAAAAGGTCTGGCTTTGCTTCAGGTTTAGATTTCCGAACTGCTGGTGTGTTTATGTTCCTTTTCAAACATTGCACTTCAGAATTTTAAATGAGTTGATGAACTGTAGAAGTAATATTTCATTAGAACTGATTGAATACTTGTCTTCTATTATTACACTGTTGGCAGTATAGTCTCATCCTTCACATTTCTTGGTCTAATAAGAAAAAAAAAGCCAGAAAACAACACTTAGTTACAAACTTGGTCTTTAAAGGGAACATTCGGGACACCTTGGTGGCTCAGTTGGTTAAACATCTGCCTTCGGCTCAGGTCATGATCCCAGGGTCCTGCTCAGTGGGGAGTCTGCTTCTGCTGCTCTCCCTGCTTGTGTGCTCATGCTCTGTGTCTCTCACTCTCTCTCTCTGACAAATGAGTAAAATCTTTAAAAAAATAAAGGGGGGGCACCTGGGTGGCTCAGTCGTTAAGCGTCTGCCTTCAGCTCAGGTCATGATCCCAGGGTCCTGGGATCGAGCCCCACATCAGGCTCCCTACTCTGCAGGAAGCCTACTTCTCACTCTCCCACTCCCCCTGCTTGTGTTCTCTCTCTCTCTGTCAAATAAAATCTTAAAAAAAATAAATAAATAAAGGGAACATATTCATGTTACTTTATGTCACACCTTTGTTTTTTGGCCCAAAGTGGTGGTGTTACTTTATTTATTAACCTACCTCTGTGTTACTTTGAATTGTTTAATAAAAATTAAATCCCCCCAAAATAAAAATTAAATCCAGTTGCAGAGGATTAACATTTACCACTTTAAAGGTGTTACCAGTTAGTAATACATTTGGCTGTAAGTAAATTTACTGTTTAAATGAGGGGGGATAGTTAGCATAAGATGATGGAGGTAAGTGGCTACTGTCTTTGCTCAGTAGCTCAAAAATATCAAGGTTAGTATTTGAATCCCTTGGCCTTTCTCTTGGCATTCAGGATGACTGCCTGAAATCTAGGCATTACATTCCTTATTCAAGGCAAAAAAAAGAGGGGGTATGACATTGCTGATATGTCCATTTTTATAGATAAGCAAATCTTTCCGAGAGGTACATAAAAATTCTTAAGTCTCTCATTTTGTCAGAACTCTGTAATATGGCCACCCTGTGCTATAAAGGAGGCTGGAAAAGTGAAGATACTTACCTTTTCTAGCCTCTGCAGAAAAAGGCAAGAGAAAAAGAAATAGATACAGATTTGGGATTAGCTGTTTAAGTGTATTTGCTAAAGGATATTCATAATACTGGTAACAGGGCTGTGAAGGAAGTTCAGTCATTCAAAGGAACATTGGCTTTGTTTGAATAAGTGCATCACTTTTCAAAATAGATTTCCTTGAAAGGAATAGCACTTATTTGGAAGTATGAATTATGGATTATTAAAGTTTCAAGGCAAATTACTTTATTGCCATCACCCATCCTCACCATGTGACTTCTGAGAGTTGAACTGTGGAGTGGACTTAGTGTTGAAGAAAGAGCATACTAGGCAAGTAATAGTAGTAATAGTCACTATGCCATTTTTCTGAGTTTCAGTTTTTTTCCAGATGCCTACTAGACACCACCTGGGTATCCTACAAATGCTAACAATACTTTATTTTGTGTAAGTATTAAGTGTATAGCCATGGATTCTGATGAATGTATGCACCTGTGGAACCACCACCTAAAGATAAACGTTTTGCTCAGCAATGTTTTTGAGCTTCATCCATGATGTATGATCAGTAGTTTTTTTGCTGAGTAGTACTCCATTGTGTGAATATACCACAGTTTGTCTTTTCCCCGTTTGACAGGAATTGAAGTTCTGGTTTTTAGCTATTAAAATAGAGCTGCCATGACCACAAGCATTTCAAACACTGCCCAAGATGGAATTCTTCATGTCTTATCTTCTAATTTCCTGTTTTGGTGCCTCTGATTTCCCTTGTCCTGGTGAATAGTACCGCCTTCCTTTCAGTTATTCAAAATAGAACTAACAATCATTCTTGACCCCCTTCTTTTTTCTAACAGATAATTATTGACCTTTTCTTTATTAGGGGCTGGGCTTGGTGATAGAGATACAGTGAATACTAAAGTAATTGTCCAGTTGTGGTACAGGCAATAACTTACATAAGTAAAAAAGTCTATGCAGGATGCTTTGGGACTCTAGGAGTACAAAGGAGGCACCCACCCTGGTTAATGAAGGCTTCCTGGAGGAGGAGAGAAATGAATTCTCAGGGGTCACAAGAGTGTTAACAAAGGGGTCTACCAGAACAAAGGAGTAGCACTGCTGAGTTGATGGGAGGATGAAAAATTATTGTGGGGTTTAAAGCAGGGGAATGATACTTCATTTGTGTTTAATAAAATGTGGAGGATGAATTGAAGTGGGGGCAATACTGGAAGCAATGAGGTATGTTAGGAAAAAGTAGAGTATTCCAGGTCAGAAGGGATGAGCTGAGTTGTATGGGAATTTGGGAGAGATTTTTGGCCCTCTGAGAAGGCATTTGAGGAACTATTGAATGTTTGAGGAAGACTGATCTAAGAACAACATGCAACATGTTAAAATGTTTGGAGTTACGTAAGCTGTGATCCAGGCATGAAGTGAGGGACAGGAATGAAAAAAAATTTTTATTTGACAGAGTTGGTTTTTAATTGGATGGTAAGAGTAAAGGAGAGAACACCCAAATGAAATCTAGATTTTTAACCTCAGTGATTAAGTGTGGTCCCTCTGAAAGACTGAGGAAGTCAGGAAATGGAGCTGTTTGTAGAGGAGGAGTTTCCTTTTGAATATATTGGTTTTAAAGTATTTGAGAGCATATCCAAATGGAAATATTCAGTATATAGTTGGAAATACAAGACCAGAAGATTGAGGTTAGGACTAAAGAAATATATTTGAATCATTTACTTAGAAGTCATACAGGCCACAGAAATACAATTATTCTTTTATTCAGCCCAAGTGTTGGGGGGCCTGTCTGATTTCTGCTTCTAAGGAGCTTTGAGTTTAGGAGGATGTTATGTTTAGAATACGATGCGAACAAACAGGAAAGGGCCTCTACTTTGTCAGTTTAGGGGAAATTTTACAAAAGAAAATTCATGAATTTATATGGGTTGAGTTTGAATGGAGAGCATGTAAAGGAACTGTTAGAGCCTTTGAGCATATCTATCACTAAGGGATAGGTGAAAGGAGAAGCCATCAGGAAAGTGAATTTGAAGACTAGGGAATGCAATCTTACAGGAACTAGGTAGGGCTGGTAAGTGTGATCAGTAGTGTCGAATGTTTTAAGGTCCAGCTATGAGGGCTCAAAGCAACAAAACCCTTTACAAAACATTTGGTGGGTGTCCCCAGAACTGAGTGAAATAAATAGGGGGAGAAGTAGGAAAAATCCATCAACTTAGAATGGCAGTACTTCTATAAAAGAAAGCAATTTGAATTTGGAGCGACTTTGAGGATAATACATTTAAATGTTTGATAATACTTACATTTAAGTGTTTGTTCTGGAAATGGACCAAACTTCAAAATAACAAAGCCAGTCTGTGCAAATTCAAACTGACAACTTAAAGTTCTCCAGCTTTTTACCAGACTACACACTGTGTGTGGAGGAGGGATACAGATGATTTTGCTGATTGATACGCAGTTAACAGCCCAAACAAGGTCCCTTTAAAGTTGCCATAGTTTGTGTGTCCCTGTCCCCTTTTCTAGAAGGGCACAGTTCAGTGTTTTGACTTAGAATCCTAGCTGGGAGTAGGCATGTTGGCTTCTTTGGGGCTATAGGGTGAGAATAAACTGAGATGTTGATGGTGCAGGCCAAAGAGTGAGGCTCGTGGAGGTTGATGTTTGCAAGATGCAGCTGTTGCTAATCTCTTATTTTCCCCTTAAAGGTTTAACTTTTTTATTCAGCAAAAATGTGGATTCAGAAAAGCACCCAGGAAGGTTGAACCTCGAAGATCAGACACAGGAACAAGTGGTGAAGCATACAAGAGAAGTGCTTTGATTCCTCCTGTAGAAGAAACAGTCTTTTATCCTTCTCCCTATCCTGTAAAGACCCTTGTAAAGCCCTTGTTTTTTACTGTTGGGGTAAGTGCTTATGTCACTAGGAGTTACCTACCTTGCTGCTGTAGTGGTGAAATATTGTCTTACGAATTTGAGAACATGAATTTAATAATTGCTATTATTGTTACTATTTTTTAGAGTGCAAATGCACTTGCGCGAGGTGGGGAGGGGTGGAGGGAGAGAATCTTTTTTTTTCATTATTGATACTGTTTTCTGTTTTTTTATTTTTTTATTGTTATGTTAATCCCATACATTACATCATTAGATTTAGATGTAGTGTTCCATGATTCATTGTTTGTGCATAACACCCAGTGCTCCATGCAGAACGTGCCCTCCTCAATACCCATCACCAGGCCAACCCAACCTCCCACCCCCCTCCCCTCTAGAACCCTCAGTCCGTTTTTCAGCACAAGTCAGGAAATGACAGATGTTGGCGGGGATGCGGAGAAAGGGGAACCCTCCTACACTGTTGGTGGGAATGCAAGCTGGTGCAGCCACTCTGGAAAACAGTATGGAGATTCCTCAAAAAGTTGAAAATAGAGCTACCATATGACCCAGCAATTGCACTACTGGGTATTTACCCCAAAGATACAAATGTAGTGGTCCGAAGGGGTACGTGCACCCCGATGTTTATAGCAGCAATGTCCACAATAGCCAAACTGTGGAAAGAGCCAAGATGTCCATCGACAGATGAATGGATAAAGAAGATGTGGTATATGGGCACCTGGGTGGCTCAGTTGGTTAAGCGACTGCCTTCAGCTCAGGTCATGATCCCAGGGTCCTGCGATCAAGTCCCGCATCGGGCTCCGTGCTCTGTGGGGAGCCTGCTTCTCCCTCTCCCACCCCCCCCGCTTGTGTTCCCTCTCTCGCTGTGTCTCTCTCTGTCAAATAAATAAATAAAATCTTAAAAAAAAGAAAAAAGATCTGGTGTATATATATATATATATATTTATATATATATATACATACATACAATAGAATATTATGCAGCCATCAAAAGGAATGAGATCTTGCCATTTGCAACAACGTGGATGGAACTGGAGGGTATTATGCTGAGCGAAATAAGTCAAACAGAGAAAGACATGTATCATATGACCTCACTGATATGAGTAATTCTTAATCTCAGGAAACAAACTGAGGGTTGCTGGAGTGGAGGGAGAGAATCTTAAGTAGCCTCCACGCTGAGCATGGAGCCAGTCACAGGGTTGGATCTCACGACCCTGAGATCATGACCTGAGCTGAAATCAAGAATGAGAAGCTTAACCTACTGAGCCACCCAGGCGCCTCTAATAATTGCTATAAGAATCTGGTTCACTTATGTATGCCCTGGAGAAGAAACTTATGGGCCTCTTACTTGGGATAACATTTCATGTGATTTTTTGAATTTTATTTGAAAATTTCTAGCTGTAAACAGGCCCCAGGGTACAGTAAAGTTAATAAATCGTTAAATACTGTTTTCACCTAATAAGGTTTCACTATGCCAGATGTTCCTGTTCCTTCTCTTGGTTTTGTAAGAAGCAATGAAAATGAAATACTGTCCTTGGAACTATGTGTTGATCTCTTCCTCTTTTGAATTTATTTTGTGATATATTAATTTTATATAGTTTACAGGCTGTGCATTTGGATCAGCTGCTATTTGGCAGTATGAATCACTGAAATCCAGGGTCCAGAGTTATTTTGATGGTATAAAAGCTGATTGGCTGGATAGCATAAGACCACAAAAGGAAGGAGACTTCAGAAAGGAGGTAAGGATAAACATGGCTTTCTTTGTTCTAGTTGATCACAAGTTTTGAAGTCTGGTTATTTGTGAAATGTTAGTGATTGATAACATTTAGATCAGGAGATACGAAGTTACTGAACTTAATCTTCTTTAGAGTCATTTCATTGCAGTGAGTATCAGTGCTTTGTATGTCTGGCAATACTGTACTTGACGGTGTTCTAAGAAGCTTGTCCCTCTGTCCACCTGTATCAAAAATCACTGTGGATAGTTGCTGAAAATTAATGTGTTGGGGTCTCTGTAAGCCCTACTAAAGTTTAAGGGCTCCTGTTTTGCATTACCTTGCTGGAATATTTTAGAGTACGTAGTAGAATCACAGGCGGTTTTTCGAAGCACCTATGCCTTAGGTGTAGAGATATTATGTGGATTTTAAAAAGCTTCTCTGTGACATGATGTTTACATAGCTCTGATAAATACCCACTGTGGAATATTTCTAACTGCTCAGGGGACGAGGATGCAAGAAAAAGGTGCAAATATAGAGCTTTTAGAGCTTTTCATTTTTTCACATGCAAGTTGGTGACCCTCTTTCAATTTCTTCTTAACTGATTTTTTTACAAATACTGCCTTTAAGATAAAACATACACTTGACAATACTTAACTGAGCACTGAGGCCCTAAGTTAATATGTGGTTCATTTGGTTTTCAAGCGACCTTTGTTTTTTGTTTTTCGGTTTGTTTTTGTTTTGTTGTTGCTGTTTTTTGATGACACATGCCTCTCCACTTGAGAGAAGGTTGATGTCCTCTTAATTTTCTCCTAACGATAATTCAAGACTTTTCGAAGTACAAAGAAGTATTCATTCTTTGTTTCCCCATAGACATATGCAAGAAGCCTGAACCTTACCTGTTTTAGAGAGACTTTGTGTCCGAAGGACAATGGGTGTAATCATTTGCAGGTGAAAGCTACGATAGCTAACAGTGATTTATTCAGAACAGTATGTTTGGGAAGATAGTAACACTGACCTGTTCCATAATCCTGGATTCCTTAGAAGGCTATAGGTTTCCAGCATGTCTATATTATAAAGTATTTTTTTGGAGATTTTATTTTAGAGAGCTTGAATGAGAGAGAGCATGCGAGTGCATGCGCATGCTTGAGCAGGGGAGGGCAGATGGAGAGGGAGAGGCAGAGAATCTCAAGCAGATTCCGCCCATGGAGCCTGATGTGGGGCTCACTCACCGCCTTGAGACCTGACCTGAGCTGAAACCAAGAGTTGGGCTCTTAACCAACTGAGCCACCCAGGTGCCCTATATTATGAAGTTTTGATGGTTCAAAGGGTTCTTTAGAATGGTGAAAAGTGACACAAGCAATAGACATAATCTTTATCCAAAGATGGATTGGTTTATAAATGATAGGTTATAAAATACAAAATCCATGCCCATTAAAGAAAATTAAAATAATACATAAATATAACATGGGAAGTGAAAGCCCTGGAAACCCCTGCCATACTGCTACATATGTGGGGAGTAAGGTCTGAAAGCTCATACGCAAATTATAAAAATGTAATGATTGTTTATGGATCTGTAACTTTGTTTTTAACCTTGCATTTCTTTCTGTATTAGTATTCAAAGTGTGGTTCAATATCATAGTTAGAATATATTTTTTATTTTAAAACTTTAATCATGTGCCTGGGTGGCTCAGTCGTTACGCATCTGCCTTTGGCTCAGGTCATGATCCCAGGGTCCTGGGATGGAGCCCTGCATCGGGCTCCCTGCTCGGCGGGAAGCCTGCTTCTCCCTCTTCCACTCGCCCTGCTTGTGTTCCTGCTCTCGCTCTCTCTCTCTCTCTCTCTGTCAAATAAATAAATAAAATCTTTAAAAAAAACAAAAAACAAACTTTAATCGTGGAAAAATTTCAAACAAAACTAAAAAGTATAATGAACCCCTGTCATCCACCTTCAACAATTATTGACACAAGGCCAACTTTGTTTCATTTAGTCCCCTTTGTTTCCTTTCCTTCCCTGCCACTGATTACTGTAAAGCAAATCCTAGGCATATTTCAGTGTGCGTCTCTGAAAGTTTCGGATTCTCTGTTTTTCTGAACCTCAAATTGTTATTATACCTTAAAAGGTAGTTTTAGAAAATATTTTTGGTTAGAATTTTAAGACTAGATTGGACCTTGGTAAATAAATCACTTAAGCTTGATACCTTTGTATATCTTGATAGTGTGCTAGGTGTTTTGTTATTAATATTTCTCAACAATATTGCTAGGTATCTATTGTTTCCATTTTATATATCAGAAAACTGAGGTTTAGAAGTAATTTGAGGTCACAGAGCTAAACAGTGGCTCTGTATGGAGAATGTAGACTATAAAGCACCTGTGTTTCTATTTTGCCACATATCTATTATGTTTGTTTATTGGAATTTTTGCACATGAGAAATCTTTTTATGCACAAAGCATTTTCTCTCTGGCTTTTCATTTTCCTAGCCTGAAAGTGTTTATCATATGGTGATAGGCAATTTTCCTTCTGTTTTAGATTAACAAGTGGTGGAATAACCTAAGTGATGGCCAGCGGACTGTGACAGGTTTGTGTTAGCTTACACGTTTTAGCCATTCAAGGGAAGAGAAATCAAACCAAAAGGTACAGTATGTCACAGTCAATGGCTTTTGTATCCTGCTCACCAGTGGTTTAGAAGACAGAGTCTCTGTACCTTCAGGCTAATGTAATAGTATAAAAAGTGGTGTGGCATAAAGGTGTACATGATGCTGTGGGTCACTTATTTTCTAATTTTGATCTAGTATGTTACTGATTGATCAAATAATCTTTGTTGTAGAATCCTAGCTTGTGAAATAGGTTATGAGTAATTATTACTTATCCTATTAAAGAAATTAAAGGGGACATTGATTAAGTACCTTCTTTATGCAGAATGCTTTATACACATTCTCTCCCTACCTCACAGGGTTGCTTACCGGGTAGTTATCTCCCTTTTTACCAATAAGGAAACTGGCTTTCAGAGAAGGAACTTTTCAAAGGTCACACTGCTAGTAAGTAGTAGAGCTAAGTTTCAAAACCCAGGTCTGTCTCATTCTAAAGCTAATTTTCTCTTTCCTGCACCATGCTGTTTTTAAAGTCTTCATTTATTAAATAAATGTAAGCATGCCATGCATGTCACCATGATAATTTAATTTTTGTTCTTTGTAAATTTTTATGGAAAGATAAATCTGGCTCTTCATGGTAACGTACATTATTTAATGGACTTAGTTATTTGAGAAATTTGGGGAAATGGATTTGAAAGTTTAACAGTTGTGCAGATAGGAAAAAAAAATCTTTTAGGGAAATAATAGCAAAATATTGCTTTTTCTTTTTTAAAGATTTTATTTATTTATTTGACAGAGACAGAGAGCAGGAACACAAGCAGGGGGAGTGGGAGAGGGAGAAACAGGCTTCCCGTGGAGCAGGGAGCCCGATGTGGGGCTCGATCCCAGGTCCCTGGGATCATGACCTGAGCCGAAGGCAGACGCTTAACAACTGAGCCACCCAGGTGCCCCCAAAATACTGCTATTTCTTAAATATGGTTGGACTTAATGGTACTCTTAATTTTCTTTACCTACCTAAGAGGATGTCTAAGAGTCCTTCAGGCTCTTTCCTTTGTCTGGAAGGTTTACTTTTTCTGTCTCCTTGCTGGAACCTGAACTGGTCTTCAAGCTTATGGTTTGGACATTGCTTCCTGCAGGAAGTGTTACCAGACCAAAGTGAGTCTGTTCCTTGGTGAACTGTAGACAGAGACTACACCAGGTGGAGTTGCCTCACAATTATCTTTATTTGTACAAATAAGGAGACCATGGGGAATTATTTCCAAATCCATGACTCTCTGAACAGGGGTAAGCAGGCTCCTTTTATCAGGGCTTGGGATGAATATTCAGAAGGATAAAAGATTTTAATATTATAATGAAGCAGAGGTAACAGGCACTTGCTGATTCATCTGCACAGTCTTCCTCCTCAAATGTTTCTTTCCCTGCTACAGCAGTTCATTAGTTTCTAAAAGATGAAAGTGACAGGCAGAAGCTTCTGGGAGATTCCTGAGTTCAGTGGGTCAGGGGGTCTTGCCAATAACAGAAGTGCTTTAATTTTTCTGAACTCATTGCACTTTTTAATCATTTATTTTTTAAGATTTTATTTATTTTAGGGGCACCTGGGTGGCTCAGTTTGGTTAAGCATCTGCCTTCAGCTCAGGTCGTGATCCCAGGGTCCTGGGTCCTGGGATCGGGCCTGCATCTGGCTCCCTGCTCACTGGGGAGCCTGCTTCTCCCTCTCCCGCTCCCCCTGCTTGTGCTCTCTCATTCTCTCTCTCTCAAATAAAGAAATAAATAAAATCTTAAAAAAAAAAGAAGATTTTATTTTAGAGAGTGTGCATGCATGAGCGGAGGGAGGAGCAGAGGGAAAGGGAGAGAGTCCTTAAGCAGACTCCCCGATGAGTGCGGACCCCTCCCTCCATGTGGGGCTTGATCCCAGGACCCCAAGATCATGACCTGAGCTGAAATCAAGAGTTGGACACTTAACCAACTGAACCATCCAGGTGGTCAACACTTTTTAATTTATAACACAACCTGCCTTATGTAATTGTACATGTAGCATCCTTGAGGACAATGAGAGTTTTCATTTTGTTATAGCAACTAGCGCGTGTCTTGCACACACTAAAGACACTTGATTAAAAATCTGTGAAGGGAATGAATATTGAATGGGCTCTTGAATCAAAGGATTGAGATTTTTCAAAGGTATATTGCCGTACTGTAGAATTGATTAGTCAGTAAGGTCTTAATAAGTATGATACCTTCAAAGATAGCTCTATAATAGCACATCTGTTTTCATTGATATTAACAGGGGGGTTTTGGTTTGTTTGCTTATTTTCTCACAGTAACCAAAATTAACATTATTTCCTTAGGATAGCAAAGTTTTGATTTCCTTTGATATTTTCAAAGTATCTCATAATTAGTTGGTACCTAGTGTTCTTTGAAGATGGTAAAGATTTTATGCCATTAAATATTTGAAGAAACTTGGGATCAGAATTTAAAACATTTCTCATGCCAGTAAATAGCTTATTCATAGAAGTTGGTATTTGGAGACCACTGAAAATCCGAATTCTTTCCCCTAACCTTTTGCTTTTCTCTTAGTCAGATCAGGTTATTTGGCACGTAGGGACAGATGTTTTGATCTAACTAGCAGCTTGAGTGTAAGGTGCTTTGAACCACAGAAACATGAACAGTCATGCTAAATCCTTTTTTTTTTTTTTAATTTTTTTTTTAAAGATTTTATTTATTTATTTGACAGAGAGAGACACAGCGAGAGAGGGAACACAAGCAGGGGGAGTGGGAGAGGGAGAAGCAGGCTCCCCGCACAGCAGGGAGCCCGATGCGGGACTCGATCCCAGGACCCTGGGATCATGACCTGAGCTGAAGGCAGTCGCTTAACCAACTGAGCCACCCAGGCGCCCAGTCATGCTAAATCCTTATTATGAGGTTATCTAAGTGCTGCTAAAGGTTGAGGAGATGCTGTCCCTGGGAATCACTTTCTCAAAGGTACTAGAGAACTGGCCTTGATCTTTTTTTTTTCCCCCCCTCTTTGGTTGGTTTGGGGATTTTTTTTTTTTTCTGGTATTAATCTTAATTATTAACAGAAATATCTCCCCAAACTTCACATTGCTTTGAAAAAATGTTTTTATATGTTCACTTGGTATTTGTGGGAGCATCTGGTAGCATTTTTCAAGTTAGATTTGTGCCTGGTGCTTTTATACTTCAGCTAGTCTCCTGTTCTGTTGCTTTGATCTACAAGGGTTTTAAGGCTGCACTGGAGGTCTGTAGGCAGCCCCCAAGGAGAGTATTTCCCCTACCTTTGTAGCTTCCAGGTATGCCTGTGAGATACCTGCCAGGTTTTTCTATTAGCTCAGCAGAATGCTGACTTGACTATTTTGGGAGTCAGGTAAAGCTGAGAGAGAAGAACCTGCTAAAATATTGTATCTGAAGGAGGGGATAGGGAGTAGGAGGATGGGAAGAGAAATCTCAAGAAAACATTGCCCCGTTTTTCTACTAGTCCATATCTATTGTCAGCTCCAAAGTTAGTCACCACTATACCCTAGGGCCTTGCCCCTTTTGCTCCAACCTCTAACGTTTATTTTTTATTAGTCTCTATACTCAAAGTGGGGCTTAAACTCACGACCCCGACGTCAAGAGTTGCATGCTCTACCAGCTGAGCCTGCCAGGTGCCCCTAGTTTCACTTTTCTTTCCCCTTATACCTTTCAAAGATTTTGAGCTATACCTCCTAGACTAAGGTCTGCTTTCCTGTTCCTGAAGTTTCTGGTAAGGCAATGCTCACTGGATCTAGCTAATCTTGACCTTCTAATTTGTTGCTGATTTTCCTGAAATTCTTGGCTTCTCAGTTTTCAGACAAGTTATTTCTGGGTAAAGAAAAAACTAATGTTTGAGTGCCAGTTAGGCTTCAAGTGCTAGGGTAGGTACTTTACATACATACTGTTATCCTTATCAATCTTAATTGTAAGAGCCCTGCTAGTGGTATTCTGATTGTTCAGATGGGGTAACTGAGGCTCAGAGAGGTTAAGTAACTTGTCTGAGCTCACACAGCTAGAAAGAGTAGAGATGGGGAACAAACTTTTTTTTTTTCCAAGCTCAGTTCTTAATTTAAATAATACACATATTATTATATCCTTTCACGTTCTACTATAGCAGATCACCATTAAATTACCTTTCTGGTGAACCACACTGCCTGCTCCCAACCCAGGTATCTGGGTGTTTATTGACAGCCCAAATTGTAGTGACTTGTCCCAAGACAGCAGGCTGGCACTCAGGAATGAAAGGGAGCCCTTTTTGTCTACTTAAGGTTAGTCTTTGTCATTGTAAAATGAATAGATGTGCATTGTAACAGGTTAAAATAGTGTTAAAGAATATGTAAAGTGAAAAATCTCTGTAACTTCCAGTTCTGCAGTTTCTGTCCCCATAATAACCACTGCCTTTTTAGTTACACTTGTGTGTTTATATATAGGCATTTATACTTCTTTGCACCTTGATTTTTTTTTTAAATTCTGTTAATATTTTAGAGGACATTGTATCATTACAAGTAAGTCTATTACATGTCAGATGTATGTTTTTCACAAACTGAGCACATCCATGTAATTAGCACCCAGATCAAGAAATAGAAATTACCAGCACCCTGGGCTCAGAATATTCTTTTTGATAGCATGATAGTAGTTCATGCCAATGAATACTATGTAACAAGTCTTCTCTTAATAGATACTTAGGTTGGTTTTAGTCTTCTATAAATAATACTGCAGTGAATATCCTTACATAGAGATATTTGCACCCTTTTGCAAGCATATTTTTAGCATGAATTACTGGAAATAGACTTGCTGGGTCAAAGAGTATGTATATTTAAAATTTTGTATGTTGTCAGGTTGTCTTAAAATAAGTTGTATACCAATTTAAACATCCTTTAAGTCATTTAAGTCATTTATTTTCTAAAAGTTGCTCACAGGGGAGGTTACATATTCTCATCTACAAGGAAGGTTACAAACT